CACGTCGAGAACAACTTCCAAAGTCGCTTCCACCACGGAGCTACCAACCTTTAGTGCCAAGGGAGCAGCGTACTTTGGTGATAGTATTGGGTTGAGAGAAGGTTGCTGAGCGGCCTTCTTCTTATCCGCCGAGACGAGCACAAATGATGACGCTCTGCGGAAAGGTAACACGCGTCGAGACGCAGGCGAAGGTGATACGTCAACGTTGGTCGTGCGAACCACAGGCGCTTCATGCCCGTTGGCTCGGGAAAGTGGTCGGATCACAACGTCTTGGCCCTCGAAGGTCAGTGCGGACCCTCTTGAAAGTAATTCCGTCTCAGCGCTAACACTGTCAGATGTGACAATGACTGGATAGAGGACGAAGAGCAGTTCTTGGACATAATTGGAAGAGTGAGTGTAATCGCGAAACCCTTCCGATCGTGAATGTAGCTCAGACAGAAACTGGATAGCAGAGTTCAGAACAACGGCAAAGTCATTCAGTCGATCTGTCTGAGGAGCCCGGGTATCTAGAGTCGTTAGCATGGTTGTTACATAGTGGCTGAACTTAACTCACCAACTGTTGGCTGCTTGGCATTTAGCGACATTGTTCTACGACGCCCTCGAGTGACTGTGCCTTCGCCAGTCTCTTGCTTTGGTGTGCCATCATCGGCTCGGGCGAGGTCACGATCGCGGACAATCGCTCGCAGGCCAGTCTCCAACATCGCGGTGATTACTGGGAATATTTCAGGGTACCAAATCCTGAGCTGAGACTGGGGTGAATGCGCGATAAAAATGTCGACCAGATTGAAGACGTCAAAGTCGCGCTCGAAGTCAATGGTTGCGACATCGCGACCAAAAAGGATCGCGAAACAGATAGTCCAGATGCCTGGTGTATTCCACCAGTGGCGCAACCTGTTCTTCATCAAGATGAAGCCTCCTGTCTTATCCCCAAACTTCTTGACATAGTGCGAACCATTGATCACTAGCAGTCGAGCTAAGATCTTTGCCCCAAGAACAACGACTCGTTGTTCAGGCTCGGCAAGAAGATAGAGCAGCCACTTTCCAGTGACATTCTTCGCAAAACGAACGATTTCGTGCGGGTTCTGAGGATCGCAAAGAAGTTCCGCTAAAAGAGTGAGGATGGCGATGCCTAAATCGGGTAGTGATAGTGGTGGCGAACTGCCGCCGTTTTGTGCCGGGCTGTTCGAGCGTGGTGTAGACTCTGGTGTCAATGTTGGTGGTGTGCCTTTGCGAAGACGAGCAATGCTCGCTTTGGGTCGCAGTGCTCGTTTCGCATACGATGCGCGGCTGTCGTGCAGCGCATATGTGACGAAAAGAGATAGCGATCTCGCATTTTCCCCGTTGAAGTTGATGATAAGTAGCGCTTTGAAGGCGGCGAGAAACAGCTTGAACGTTGATGGAGTGAAGTTTTCACCTTTAAGAGCATCCGTGAGACGCTTGACAACGCCTGTGATAGGTCAGCTAAAGTTGATTCGCCATGTCGGTATACTTACGTATCCTGTGGAATCGCTTAGCGTTGTAGTGATGGTGCTTGCTGCCCTTGGCAAAGTGCGCAAATTGCAGGTAATACAGCTTCTGCGTTTCCAATGAGGTAGCTCTACGCCAGATCTCTAGATCAACCAGAAGTACTCTATACGCAAGTGGGTTGATGATGAGTGACTCGGTTGGCTCGTGCTCATCGTATCCAACGAATCGGAGAATGATTCGCAAGAGCTGCATAACAAAGCCTTCGCAGTCTTCTGGTGTCACATCTAATGAGGAGGGGTTGCGCGGCACCAATCCCCCCATGGCGAATCCAATCTTCTGGCGCAGAACCTCTGCCAGGACAGCAAATCCGTTGCGCTGCTCCATGGCCTCGCAGTTGCGCCAGTTGCCCCCGACGGCTTCCAGCAAAATCTTGACAGATCGAAGCATGCTGTCTAAAGTCTGGGCGGATTGCACCAGCTTCAAGCCGACAGCCACACATCCGCCAATGCGCCAAATAGCATCGTCGAGTGATTGTGGAACGACAACGACAGGGTCACCAGATAGACGTCCAAATCCTCGTGGCTGAGATAATGCATCATTGACCGAAGGTACGGCAGCATTGATGATGATCGGAGTACTATGAAGTCTGGTATACTTATGCAGAGTTTTAGCTGATTCGCGTGATAGTGATCGGATTAGTTGGGATTCATCGATGGCATTTCTGTCATCGTCGTCCATTACGGAACTGGGAGAGAAGCTCAGTATTATCTTCGATTCAGGCATGAGATGGCTTGCATTGGCCCGAATAGCTGCTACGATGTCGGATCGTTCCTCTCTCCCAGGATGTAATATCTCGTTGTGAACATGAAGCTCAGCAGAGGTACGGTAGGTTTGAAACGACCCGAGCCTATCTTGGAAGTTTCCACAGTAACGCGGACCAAGTTTATGATATACAGCGATCAGCTCATCTGACAGCGGTTCAGAGAATAGATGGAAGGAGGCGACTGAGAGCTTGGAGGCAATGACGTTTCTACCCAGCCGAGGCGCCAAGTTCCGTGGTGTTCCCAAGAACGCGAGTATGTGGTGTTTGGACACGCTCGAAGACATGGAGGCAAAGCTATCCTGGCTGCTATCCAGTAACGGAGGATGCGAAGGGTAGTGGGCTTTCATAGTCTCGGTGAACTCACCATCGACGAAAAGAGATGCTTTAGCAGCGCCGATACCGATAGTCTTGGCTCTCCGATGAACCACAGCGATGTGATACCACCGGCCTGCTTCGAAACGAGGAGCTTTCTTGAATCTAACACTGGGTATGACACCAGTGGAATGACCCATGTAAGTCTGCAGGATAAAGCAACGGGTATCTCTTTCCAGATATGCCATGAGGAAACACGTTTGTGTATCGTCGTATGCGCCGAAGAGGGTGGTATGGCAGTCGGCGTCGAATCTGTCGACCCTTACCCAAGCAGCAAATGTATATCCGCCTCCTGGGGACATTGGTGGAAATGGACGACCAATGTCTGGAAGTTCAACAGCGCTGAAGCCATGCAAAGATAGATCGAATTGTATGAAGGGCGGGTCGCGGGAGGAGCGCATACCACGCAAGAGAAACTCAGCAGCTGATTCAGAAGACGCTGCCTTGCGGAAGAGGTAGTATGCATCGTCCAGCTTGTTGATGCCGTACTGAATTAGGTCGTCGGCCAGCTCTTGCAAGAGGCTGGCTTCTATAGGAGCGCACTTGTTCTCAAATAGCAGGGGTAGGACACTGCTCAAGACGCCAGTGACGTGCAGCGCAGCTTTGTTGTAAGATGAGATGGAAGTGATTTCCAGGATGGCAAGCAGCACCGATATGGAAAGAGCCTTGGAGCGCGTGCCCGGGGCATCTTCACCAGAGAGACCCCGCCAGAAGTGGAAGATGGTCGGAATGATGTCTGGGTTCTGCAGTATCTCATTGCCGCTGAATATAGCCCGTACCTGGCTGCGTAGTGGGTCGAGATCGAGATCGGTATCGCTGTACACGGACCGCGGGCTAGAGACTACGATCTCAGTAGGCTGCGAGTCGCCGCTGGCTGCTGCGTCCTCGTCCTGCTTGGGTTGTGCGACTTCGACTTTCTTATCGATATCCCTGAAGATGCGTGTCATGGTCTCCTCGCCCAAGGCAAAGGCGAACAGGGTGCCGAAAAGCTGCTCCTGGCCGGCATCGTCACGCTTGCTCTGCGACTGTCCGCCAAAAATGCCAGTGCTAGCCAAGGCTTGTTCCAGAGCACTCCAGCCGCCGTGCTCGACGCGCTTGGCGAAGAAGCGCCTGTTACCGGCATGCTCGTTCAGCGCGTCTGACAGGACATCGAGTGTTCCCTTGATCACCTCGAAGAAGTCGATGCGGTCGGGCGTGGGCAGCTCGGCGGGTTTGTAGAAGCCAGAGAGGGAGCGCAGGGTAATGAGGAGCGTCTCGAAGCCGCGGACATGGCGGAACGCGTCTTTGGTATGGGTTTGGTCGTTGGACTCGATCAGCAGCTGGCGCATGCGGCGGAGGGCGTTGCTCTGATTGTGGAGGACGTCGGAGGTCGGTGGTGTGGTCTCGGAGGCCCTGATCAATTCATCCGCTAGGCTTCGGAGTTCGGCTATCTGGTTATTCATCGGCGGCAGTCGTGAGGCGGCCGTGGAGGACCTGTGCGGCCGCGTCGTCGCCATGTTCAGGCGAGACCGCTGCTGCGGAGTTTGGGCGGAGGTGATGGCTGCGCGGGTAGCACCTTCATGTCTCCCGAGCCCCAAGCCCGCACATGAGACCTCAACTTGCGGGGAAGACTAGTCGTGTCGTTTGGTGGTGGGCGGGCGCACAATGAGGGCTGATTACGGCGGGCGGGCTCCGCGCTCGTCGTGGTTGCTGCTAAGCTGGTCATCGAAGCTGATCCCTGTCAGTCCAGAGCTCAGCCAGGCTACAGGCGCCCACGCGCCGAGCAACGTCAAGTCGCCGCAAAGCAAGGTACTGATAAACAGTGCACCAGCACTAGGAGCTGTGCATATCGCCTACCAACATAGTTATGATAAACACGCGTTCTGTCTCACGCGGGCCGCATGGTGCGCTCCTGACTATTGCCTCTCACGTGAGCACGCATTGCCCAGGTGTGGCTGGCATATCGATAACTACCTCAGTACATGTCAGGCCAACGTTGGCTCCCAGTAACCATATGTGAAGCCACGCTCCACCAACACAGCCAGCCTCTGCATCCCAGGGCACTCGGGTGTCCTGATACCATCCATGTATCATTCATCTGATACTCATGGCGCGTGCGCTAGCTCACCCCAGCCTCACTCGCGCGGGCGCGGATAGGTCATGCGTCATCCACCTAGCGCGCCCGGGCCATGCACCGAGGTCCTGATAAGAAGCTCCATCGCCAGAGCTACCCCAGCTGCATCCCCATCTCTCCTCCACAACACTCTCCTCCCTCCCATCACCCCTTCCTTCATCTATCACGCTTCTTGCACCCCTTTACCCTTGTGTTTCTAGTTCTCGCTGTGCGAGCTCCGCCATCATGAAGTACAGCCTGGTCTTCGCGCTACCGGCTTTGGCCGCCGCGTCGCCTACCTTCAACGTAGAGACCATTCACAAGAACGCCGCCCCAGTGCTGTCGTCGACCTCTGCCAAGGAGGTGCCCAACAGCTACATGGTCGTCTTCAAGAAGCACGTCAAGGATGCCTCCAAGCACCACGACTGGGTCCAGAGCGTCCACACCAAGAACAACGAGGAGCGCATGGAGCTGCGAAAGCGCTCCTCGCAGTTCCCCGTTACCACTGAGGTCTTCGATGGTCTCAAGCACGTCTACGAGATGGCTGGCATGAAGGGCTACTCTGGCCACTTCGACGACGAGACCATCGAGGCCATCAGGAACCACCCCGATGTAAGTTCTCTCCCCAGCTGTTACCAGCTTGCATCATCCCAGATGGCGTCAGCGCGTTGGTGGCCTAGAGTGAGCGCTGCCTAGGCGGCCTTATCTCCGCAGGCAGCTCCGGCTCCGCATCAGCACACGTGACGCCATCTAGGTACCTGTACCTGCATAAGACTTGGCGCTAACACCTTGATAGGTCGACTACATCGAGCGCGACTCAGAGGTCCACACTCTCGGCCACGACGAACCTGAAGTCGAGAAGAACTCCCCCTGGGGTCTCGCCCGTATCTCGCACCGCGACTCCCTGAGCTTCGGCACCTGGAACAAGTACCTCTACGCCGCCGACGGTGGTGAGGGCGTTGACGTTTACGTCATCGACACCGGCACAAACACCAAGCACGTTGACTTTGAGGGTCGTGCTAAGTGGGGCAAGACCATCCCCAACGGCGATGCTGACGAGGATGGCAACGGCCACGGCACCCACTGCTCCGGCACTGTCGCCGGTAAGAAGTACGGTGTCGCCAAGAAGGCGCACGTCTACGCCGTCAAGGTCCTCCGCTCCAACGGCTCCGGCACCATGTCCGACGTCGTCAAGGGTGTTGAGTACGCTGCTAAGTCTCACTCTGAGACTGTCAAGGCCGCCAAGGATGGCAAGAAGAAGGGCTTCAAGGGAAGCGCCGCCAACATGAGCTTGGGAGGTGGCAAGTCCACCACCCTCGACCTCGCTGTCAACGCTGCCGTTGACGCTGGTATCCACTTTGCCGTCGCTGCCGGTAACGACAACGCCGACTCCTGCAACTACTCCCCAGCTGCTGCTGAGAAGGCCGTCACCGTCGGTGCCTCCACTCTCCTCGATGAGCGTGCCTACTTCTCCAACTACGGAAAGTGCAACGACATCTTCGCCCCTGGTCTCAACATCCTCTCCACCTGGATCGGCTCTGAGCACGCCACCAACACCATCTCTGGAACCTCAATGGCCTCTCCCCACATTGCTGGTCTCCTCGCCTACATGCTGTCTCTTCAGCCTAGCAAGGACTCTGCCTACGCTGTCGCCGACATCACCCCCAAGAAGCTCAAGGAGAACCTCATCTCCGTCGCCACCGTCGGTGCCCTCTCTGATGTCCCAAGCAACACCAAGAACGTCCTCGCCTGGAACGGTGGTGGCTCTTCCAACTACACCGAGATTGTTGAGAAGGGTGGCTACTCTGTCAAGAAGGCTGCCGAGAAGGAGGAGGAGTCCGAGTTCACTATCACCATCCCTTCTCTCTCCGAGATTGAGGGTGACTTTGAGAGCGCTAAGGAGTCTGCCAGCCGCACCGCTCACCGCGCCGGAGGCAAGCTCCAGCACCTTGAGCAAGAGATCGAGGACTTCATCGCCGAGGAGATGGAGTCTATGTTTGAGAAGGTCAAGGAGCGCGTCGCTAGCCAGTAAATGTGACATGATATGATCGTTAATATGACCCAAGAGGGTCTACTGATATATGGAATGGGATGGGTTCGGTATCGGCGTCTGGTTTTCCTACATGGAGCATGTGTCTCCCATCTCATTGGGCACAAGTTGATGTACTGTACGTTACTCTTGATATGGAACGCAATGTGAGGTAGATTAGATATCTGGAATGGATCTATCTTTCCTCCACCAACTCTCGCTTCTGTCTCGTGTATATGTCTGCCAACTTGAATCGTTCCTGCAAGTCGTGTCCTTATGAAGAAGAGTCTTCGTGTTCTTAGTACACCCTAGCGTCCATCAATGGCGTCCATCATCGACCCTTCGCGCTTTCCTCTCACGGCATCCACAATCATTGTCTCAATAACGACGGCGACGGCGATCCGACAACAGTCCGGTCGCTGGCTGCAAGCCCGCCTTCTCTTCCGCCACGCGTCTCAGAACACCAAACATGAAGCCAGTGTGTTTGCTCAGCAACGCCGCAATCTCGGGCTTGTTGAGCAGCTCGATGTGGGCCACAATAGTCTCGCGGATCACTTCTCGCAAACCAACATCGGTATCCGGTGTTGTGTTGAGGGCGTGTTCTGCAGCTTCAGCGAAGACCTCATCGTCCCACAATGGAGCGCAGATGGAGGTGAATTTGATGCGGGCGAGATCCTTGAGACCCTTGACGTCGTATTTATCGCCTATCTCGTACATCTTGGCGTGAAGGAGGAGCTGTGACGCGCCTGCTGTGGGTATTGTGGAAGAAGTCCAGTCCGGGCAGCATTCAAGGCATACGAAGTCCACACAGGACGAGCCACATGTGTTTGAGATGCAAATATGATGATGGCAGACTAAATTGTCTAGAGCCTTACAACCCAGGCGACATGTGTGTGGAAAGTCGTAGTGATAGATATCTTTTCTGGGCGCTGTCACCACCGGCGAGGAGGCTTTAGCAGGTATCGTATCAGCTACCTCGGTATCGTAGTCGCCTTCGTAAAGATACTTGACAAGCCGCTTAACGATGTCTGGCTCGTCCTCGGAGAGATCAGCTTTGGCACTTGACGCTTGCTGCTAGATGCGTTAACGAGTGCGCGGTATAATTACGCGAGTAGTATATCGTTTACCTGATTAGCAGCGAACCTTTCCGCACTCTTGAAGAACTCCGATCGAGTGCAGACCACAGCCTTGTGGACGTTGTACATATCGCTGCCGCAGGTAATGGTGAAGTCGGAGTATGCGCCCGAGTCTAGCAAGCTGTCGTAGAGTTAGTCAATTTCTGGATAGGCTTTAGCTGATCTGAGTACATGCCTTTTGAAAGTGTTGACAAGCTCTTCACGAGCGTGCTCAGCCATGTTGTCGCTGGTGAAGACTCGAGATTTCGTGGACTGTGATTAGTGTCACTTTGTGGGATAGGTTGCGTACGGAGGACGGAGGATATTATAGATGATATCGAAGCACGGACATTGGAATTGAAATGGATCGGAGGTGAAGGTAAAGGTAAAGGTGAAGGTGAGCGTGGAGATGAACAGAGTCTACCCTGAAACGGCATTTTCAGAATGTGGAAGGAGAGGATGAATCTGTTACCGCTAGTGTATATCTTCAGGACATAATACCAATCGCCAGCTAGGTTGCACTTTGCAACTTGCAACAAAGTATCATCCTCGTTCCTTGCATCCTTCTCGACCTGTTTACGCTCGCAGCGTAACCCTAACCGGCAACCCATCCACCGGATGAGCTCCACCACCCCCCATCTCCGCCTGATACGCTCGATTTCCATCAACAGTCTTGATACCCTTCCTGGGATGCAACACATCCCACTCCTCATAAGCCGGAGTGATATCAAACATCCTCACCGTCATGACCAAAGCAATCTTGAGTTCCAACTGCGCAAGCGTCTGCCCGATGCATGCACGGGGACCCCACTCAAAAGCTCTCCACGAAGCTTTCTTAGGGTACAACGGGTCTTCAGGATCGACTAACCAGCGATCAGGAATGAAGTCTTCTGGCTGCACAAATACTTCGGGGTTATGATGCAAAGCTAAGGTGAGAGTCCAGATGTTACAGCCGTCTGTGGGATATTGGTGGCCTTGCTCATCTGAAACGAAGACATCTGGACGGCCATCGCGCATGCTGCCGGCGGGAGGGAAGATGCGTAGAACCTCTTTGATGACGGCCAAGGTATAAGGTAGCTGGTTCAGTAGTGAGGGGTCGTCCGCGATAGTCCGAGTGATGGTGTCGAGCGAGAAGTCTGACCCGAACACCTTGTCATGTTCTGCACGGACTTTAGATAAGGCCTCTGGGTGACGCGAGAGGAGTATGTAGCTGTAAAGTAGTGTGCTACTCGTAGTATCATGACCAGCGTAAAGGAACAACCGAAGTTGAGGTTTCGCTAGCTGCTTGAAGACAGATTCTGATATCTCATCTTTGTTTTCTACATCTTCGAGATACTTGTCCATGGCCAACGCAATGATAGATCTCGACTGTTTGCGGGAAACACCAGATGAGTCTTTGCGGGAGCTGGCCAACTCTTCAAAGCGCTTGTCGATTTCCTCATCGAGGTATCGGTTCATACGGTAATTGTTGTACTTTTGAACGAGCGGACGAGGACTGAGATAGCGACGGAACGGGTTGAATGTTGTGCCGAACGATGTCCAGTAGACTTGTCTTCGGAGACAATCTGCTAGCGCGCTTCCTTGGGTTTGGTAGTATAGACGTGAGCCACTGTGTCCGATGTTCAGCAGTTGCCCCATGTTGCAAGCGTACTGAATGTGAACTTACAGGGTAACACGTGCAATAATGTCGAATGTTAGCCGAAGAGTATACTCTTCCAAAGAAAAGACTTCATCTTTCTTTGCGCGTTCTTGGAGAAGTTTGCAGAAAGTTGAGACTTCCTCGGCGATCGCAGGTGAAAGTCCTGTGATGTAGCCAGCAGCGAATCCTGGATTAAAGAGCGCTCGCCATTTCTTCCACGTGCTTCCCTCCATTGTCAGTAGAGACGGACCACCATTGATGACCTCCAAGGTAGCATTTATGTTGGGCGGCTTGTTGAGGAAAGCAGCTTCTACTTGCGATGCAACATAAGGGTTTGCGACCACCATGAGAGGAGCGTTGAAAGGCCATAGGTTGAGGTAGAAGACGCCGCCGGGGAATGACTCTGCTATCCGCCGTACTACCACATGCATTACAGTGTTGCGAGGCAAGTTCTGAATGGTTTCTTTCAACACGATGAGATGACCGAATAGAGGATGGTGTTTTGGCATAGGCTGGCTATTATTAGAAGTACGTCTGCGATATATCGAAGAGTCGACTTACTGCACCTGACTTTTGTAGCCTCTTGATGTGTTGCCGATTAGCCATTAAGCTGGCTACAAACATGACCAAGGCTCCTGCGGCAACAGCCATAACGGCTGGCATGCTGACCCGCGTCATGCTTACTCACGTTTCGTGCAACAAAGATTGCCGAAGGCGGCACAAAAGCACGAGTAGATGAGCTCGATTTCGCGAGTGTTGATGTTGAAATGCCGCCGAAGGTGCAAGGCGCACGAGGAAGTAGCCTTGGGGGCGGCACGGGTAGGGCGCTAGCCCTATTTGGGCATCATGCATGTCAGCACTATCTATAGCACAAACACTGCAGTCTTGTACTACAATGCCATGCACCCCGACAGCTCAAATGATTTTACCCATGCCGTGTAATAACATGCTACCGAGCCGTCGGTTTCTTGGGGATGTTGTGATTCGTGCTTCATTACCCGACGCCGACCGGTCATAGCCCCCACACGCAACAGCTCCGGGCTGTCACCACCATCCAGCACACGAAGCCGCGACTCCAATGATAAGCGCGAGAGATGAGCAGGCAATTATCTGTTCTGAATGCAATTACTATTTCCAAGTTTTCTCAGCCCCAAGCCTCTATGCAGTCGCCTGTGATCCCACGTCTTGCGATGTGCTTATTATGTCTCGACGGCCCGCCTGAAGTTCTGTAGCTATATCGTCCAGTCTTCTCACCGAGATCTCATCCTACCAAAGTATATCTCCAGTCATGTCGATTGATCCATCGAAACTGCCACCCGCGCAATACGTGCCTGGCAGACAGTACGCCATCGAACATGCTGGTAGAATCGACAAGGCGCCATTCGTGGTATGCACTCCCCGTACTGGCCGATATTTCCAATACTGACGAATACCTCAGATCTCAACTGGACTCCTTTTTGGACTTGCCATTCTTTCTGTTTTCGTGCGCTTCGCGATTCGCATCTTTGGAGGCCGAAAAATACGATGGGACGACGGACTCGTCTTGGTGTCGTCGCTGTGCTTAACAGTAGCGTTCGCCTGCGTCCACAAGGCTCTTAATCCTTTCTATCTCGTCGAAGCCATAAACCAAAGGAAGACAATCCCATTCCGAGAGGACATTCCTGCGATCTTGGACATCCCCAAGTGGGCGTTCATATTCTCCATCTTCGGATGGAATTCCATTTATCTAGTCAAATTTGCTTTCATGTACTTCTTCCATGGCCTGACCCTTGGACTGTCGGTCAGAGTCGTACGATTTTTCTGGATCACCGCAGGCTTTCTTGTCATTGCTTGGATCTATGCTGTAGTCAACTTTGTCGTCATATGTGCACACTTTGGTGCAGACGCAGGTCAGTCAATGTTTTGTCCATTGTTAAGACGCGAAGTACTGACTTCATACAGCTAAATGCGGCGATTCCCAGATGCATAAGAGAAGTGTCGCGGGTAATGTCATCGTTGGCGTCCTTGACATCATAGGCGATATTCTCAGTAAGTCATACAGCTAGAAACTTCATTACCCCGGTTCACAGGCTCATGATTTCTAGTCGTTACCGTTCCCATTGTCGTCGTAAACCAGTCGATGATGTCGTTTTCTCGGAAATTATCAATCGTGGCCTTGATGGGTCTCTCGGCAGTAATGGTTGTTTGCGCATTGATACGGGTCGTTGGCTCGTTGACCGAAACAACAGCGGCGGCATTCGGAACTGCACCCGTGTGGGCTGCGTATTGGTTTATGGTCGAATCCTGCGTCGCGCTCATAATGGCGTCCGTCATTGTTATCCGCGGAGTCTTCATCACCAACCCTGTCGATGACGACCGACGAAAGCAGGATAGTGTACTCCAGCGATTTGGGCACCGTATACTGTCGGTGCTAAGGCTCTCCAGATCCTCAAGAAGCAGCGGGCGGAGTCCCCAGCGAAGCGACGCGATCCATGACAAGCACGAGGATCCAAGCGCGCCGAGGATCGCCACCCCGAGACCGCTAGGAGGAACATTGAATACTGTCAGAACATTCATCTGGGGTGGTAAGAGGCAAAGTCCACCTGCATCGCAAGATGATCCGCTGGTGTCAGTAAACACGACGTCTGATTTTGAGGATATGGACTACCACAACATCCGGAAGGCAGAAGTGGCAAGACATAAGCCAGAGATGACCTTTGCTTGATGAGCGATGGTGGTTGGAAGCGGAAGGCACGTCTGTCGCGCATCAATAAAGTTGTCAGACTGTATTTAGGTACTCACTACCAGTCGCCTTTGGAGTTGTTCGAGATGTAATCAATGATTAAGTGTTGAGGTCTACGCCATGGCGTTCGTGGTGACTTCGCTCTTGAAGGGCCGATTTGAGGATGTTAGCGTTGGCGCGACAGCGTCATCCCACTGCTACCTTCCTCCAGTGCCTCAAAGTCGCGTTCAACTGCACATGTGCGACGGGAGGTCACCAGTGTTCACAGCAATATAGACACACTGCTATGCGTGCACGTTCAATAAATAACCCGGTAAGGCTGTATGCCATCTGTACATGTGGTGGCGGAGTGCCACAGCCCACTGCCCCTCAACCAACATCTGTGCTGCACGCGATGCACAGCTCACCACTCCGATAATAACCATCACCACCACCACTACCGCAGCCGCTGCGATGGATAGAACCGGACACAAAAGCGCAAGCAATATCCTGTCCCTAAGGATCGTAATCTGCCGATGCACAAGACTTGCGTAAACCGTTATCTGACCGAAAACGTTGGGCAATGGGCCCCAGTGCGACCAACGAGGCGGTGCTGCAGTCAGCAGAAGGACGTCTAAGCACTACGCCCGGTCTGCCTACAGATGGTGTGCATGAAGAAACGCGCGGTCTTGTTTTATCTATGACTTTATCAAGGCCCTGGTTCCCAGTGCTATTGACAGTCTTACACCTACATCGGATGCACAATCCTGCATATACTTTTTCGCGAAAGGCGAGTACTCATCTTTCCGCTTCTACAATGGTACTAAACCCCTCAAACATCGGGTCCACGCTCTGCATAGGAATATCACGCTTTTGGACGACCTGCTGCGAAAGTCATCGGCAAGCAGCTGGAGACATTCGTAAACAATGGCGCTGGCTTGGACCGTGGCTACTTTTCGTAGTTGGAATGGTCACGTTGTTACTTTGTTTGGCATGGTTGTCATATCTCACTTCCAAGGCCCCCGTTGAACTAGACGCTTGTTTGCCCGATGGTGCCTTCACAGTGGATCCATCACATTTTCGATATCTGAGCAGCTCGAGCTTTTTTCAGATTAGTTTGGGATGGGGTCATATGACTTTCACACAAGTGAAAGCTATAGACATCAGCTGGGATATCGTGAGTGCCGCCATACCCCAGGCCAGGCAGCTAAGTGTATGGTCCAAAAACGTGAGAGCTAACTACCCTCAAGCTACTAGGACGTGGTGGTCAGGCGCTCATCGCGTATATATCGTGGCGCGTCTTCGCCAAATACGTGACGACATCCATGGAACTTACACCAGTTACGTTCGGAACATATCGGACAATCTTCTTACCAAGCGGCGGCTTTTTCCTTGCTATCATCTATACGATTCGAGATTTTGTGACACGTCACGGCTTGCATTCCAGGATAGCCATGGTCTTCATGGTGTATACCATGGTATTGACATTTATGTATCCGACCCTCGCCAGTGCAATGACTGGTTACAGCGCGAACGTTGAAGCATTTGTTAACACCACCGAAGGCGATTACATTCGCTTCAGCTCCTTCGCCTTCGCCTACTTCGTTATACATGACGGTTGGCGCGTGCAGTTGGATGGCGACCATGGTGTCACATCAAGCACTGCCCGAAACATAGGTAATGAAATCATGGTATTGAGGAGCTTTCGGAATCTGACTGGGCTCGAGTAGATTTTCCTGGTAATCAGCCAGTGATTTCTTCACCTGAGACAATCAGCTCGAACTTTAACTTCTGCTACGGAGCTACCGGGGTTGACAGCAGTACTCCTGGAGTCTGCGATTTGCTGTACAATGTGTCTAGATGTAAGCTAAGCTACCTAAAGGAGCACGTATGTTGCTGATATACGAGAAGATACTGCAGACTACGGTCTGAACGGCGAAAATTTTACGAACTCGACTTTCGCGGGCATCAATTTACCACCTCCTGTCCTGAACATCTCAGCTCCCTCTCTGCAAGAGGGCAATGGTGTCTATCATACAGAGCAAGCATTCAGTGTAACTTCCAACAAGTCGTCACTATTATGGGCATATAACAACAGAACGTACCATTATGACTACATGCGGAACAATGGAATGTGTCAAGCTGTATCGGTAAGTCATCTTACGCGAAGCCCCCTTCTTCCGACTAACTCGTGCAGGATTATAAGTGGGGGTTTTCTTATGTTCAATTATTCATCATGGTAATCCTCATGATAGTCTGGACTTCAGGGCTCTACATCATGTGGCTCAGAGCCTACATGGTCATGCAAAAACGAGGGCGAGAGAAAGAAAACGTTGCAGGAGAATACAAGGCTGTACTAGAACTTGCATCTACCATGCGAGAACAAACGACTGGACTCGTAAGCGAGGAAGGTGATGAAGTCCTTACGGTTACCGAAGCTAAGCTGCGTCGACGCATCGAGAAAGACTTGCGTGGAGGATCCATCTCCTACTCTGCGCCACTCGTCCTCCAAAACAAGAAAAATCGACAATGGGATATCAGGGCATGGGTTGAGAGCCACAAGCTTTCAATCCTTGCCATGGTTGCCTGTATCCAGGCGACGCTATTCAGTGCAATATCTCTGCCACGAAATGGCATCTTCCTTATCCCTTTACCGTTGGAGTTGATTCTCGCTCTACACATTGGGTCAACTAGGGGTTGTCGCATCGTCCTATTCATTTGGTTATTCCTGATCATCACCATTTCAACCCAGACCGCTCTATACATGACACGCCCATCATACAGTCAGTTTACTCTGAGTGAGTTAATTGATACCATCCCGAAACTTAGGTCATACGGGCTTGATTTAGGAGTCTGGCTAGACTCGGGACTCTAAGAAAGAACAATCTTCATGTTCGGGCAATACAATGTCAAATAATGTCAGATCAAGCCTGTGCAAGACGACTACGTAGTGATAGCTATTAAAGGTTCACGGAAA